GTATAAAAGGAATAACAATAGTGCATACTTCAACAAAAAGATTGTTATGAAAAGTAAATTTTAAAAATTTGTGTCTCGTACAAATAAGGTCTCTGTAAAATACCTCATTAAAAGAGCCAGGTTGTATAAGCTGAGTGCAGGAGTACAATTATTTTTGTTACATAAAATAATAATCTCAATTTCAACATCAGAGGAGAAATTTTTTTAAGAAAACAAATAATAGTAACAATGATCATGATCTTAGTAATAATAATTAGTTGCCATGCTACAAAATGTTGCAACTTACTTTTTATAATTAAGTAGACTTAGAAGTTTATTAATTATAATTTGAGAATACTATTTCACTAAGTATTATTCTAAGTGCATGGTTTATATCATTGACCTAAACAAACACAAAAAGCTTAACTTCTGGGAGCGTAGAATCTGTTAGATGGAGGCAGATGATAAATAAATATAGTAAAATACAAATTATGCCGTATGTAAGGTGGTAAGTGCTTTTGGAAAATGTAAAAGTGCAGAGCAAGGACAGGAAGGCTTGGGAAAGCTGAGGAGACGGGGTGTGCACCCAGGGAAGGAGGGTTTCATCATTAAATAGGGTGATCAAGCTGGCCGTGCTGAGAAAGCGAATTATGAGCAAAGATCTTGAGGAAGCAGGCATTGGGATTCTATGGAAGAACTTTTCAGGGAAAGACCCTCCAAAAGGCAGAAGCATGGATGACGTATTGGATGAACAGCAATGGAGGCCAGGAGATTCTGTATCGGAGACATCAAGGAAAGTATAGTTAGTGATGAAGCTGGAGAAGACTGGGGAGGTGTCAGTTCAGGTAAGGCCAGGTGGTCATTATAAGGACTTTTGGCTTTCAGTCTAAAAGAAATTAGAAGATCCTGTAAATTTCAAGAGTATCTTAGCAGGTATTTTGTAAAATCCAACACAAAATTTATCTCTTCTAGAAACTGGTATTTTGGAGCTGATTACTGTCATGACTTGTCTGATGCTTAAAGAATGAAAAAAAAAAAATCACTCAAACAAATTTGTGAGAAAGACTGATGAGTATAAGGTTAGAAGTTAGACACCATGTGATAATGATAATGGTGACTGTGTTCATGGGGATAGTAGAGCTATTGCAAAGGGATCATCATTTAGAAGGTAGATTCAATTGCATTTCCTGAGGATGTGAAGTATGGGAGGAAGATGGCAGTCAAGGATGACAGAATCTTTGCAATCCTTTGCATAACAGGTGGAGAACCATTTCAACTCTTTCGTGACAAAGAAGTTCAGAAGTTGTCTTGTGGCAAAAACAAAATTTCTTACGTGTCAAAAATATTTCCCTTCTGTTCTATAAAAACCAATTGGTCTAAATTTACTAATTATTTAAAGTCAATTTCAAGAGCATACGAGCAGGTATTTTGTAAAATCCAGCACATTATTTATTCCCTTGCCAAAGCTGATGGTATTAATAGTAACATATCTGCTTTTCTGACTGAAAATTGGGTCATGAAAGTATTATCCTGAAGGTAGCCATTTGGAAATATTTTTATCATTAATGTATGATTCTGTTGATGAAAATCATATAAATGTTTCCTGTATAAAATGTGTTATTTTATACTTGAAAACTTATAAATAAATTTTCTTAAAATTGCAATTTTTCTAAATGAAGTATGTTACATTACATTTTTTAATTTTGATCTGCATATATTTTTCAGTTCTGGTGAACTTTTATAACCAGACAGCAAAATAACTGAATTTAGTGCAAAACTTTTGAAAAGCTGAAACAAAATGTTCAAAACTTTTAGAAATCATTGAGTAGACATTTTTCAAAGTCCAAAGTTATTTTGAAAATTGGCTGATATTTTTCTCCTCCAAATACATATATCCTAATTTGTTTGAAGGCAATTCATCATGAACTGCCTTCTGACACTTCCTGTAAAATATTTCCATAAGTTAACTTTTAAAAACATTCTCTTTCCATTCATAAAAATATTCATTCTTGAAGGCTCAATGAAAGCCTTACCTCTTTTCCTTATATTTTATCCTGCATTGTACTGCTTCCTCTGAGCTTTCGTAGTGTGTGGTCCTTTTTATTTTTATTTTTATGACACACATCAAGTTATTTTAAGTGCTCTTTTCACCCTCTAGTCTGTAAATTCTTCAAGGACAGAAACGGGTTTATTTTCTCTTCTAGTCTCAGTTCTTTCACTTACATGAGAAAACATTACGATGCTAACAGTCACTAAATCATCTAGCTCAATTAGTGTTTCTAATGGTAGTAGTAGTAGTAGTATGAGTGGTATTTCCATGGTACTTAATACTCACCAGGCACACCCTAAGTACTTTACTATCTCACCTAATACTCACAATAACCCTTTGAAGTAGGTATTATTACAGTCTCCATTTTATTGTAGAGAAAACTGAACCATAGAAAAATTAAGTAACGTCCCAAGGTACCATTATTATTGTTGTCATTATTATTTTAATGTAAGTGAAAGAGTTAAAGTTTGAAATTGGCTTCAGAATAAATGCTCATAAACATGACCTATACTGACTTACAGTGATTCTCCATTAGGATTGTATTGCTTGCAGAGATGATGGCATGTATTTGAGCCCCTTAGGTTTCATTTTAACCTCCAATAGAGGAAAAAGACCCAAAGCAATGTTTTTTATACATGAGGCATAAATAAGAGAGCAACATATCCACACATTCCCAGGAATAAACAATCAACTAAGAGGGAGTGTCTTTTATATGCAAAGAGGTTCCCACATTGGAAAGGAACACAGACTATCAGATTCCATCTGTCCTTGTTATTGGCTGGACGACCACCAAAGAGTCTGATTCTGTTTCCTTATCCCATTAAATGTGGGTGTTAGCCTAACCTATGGTTTGTAGTATGTCTCTATAAGATAATACTTATGAAAGACCTGGTGAAAAGAAAAGCAATTTGTGAGAGCTGGCAAACTGGAAATTTTCATTCAAATTGTTCCCAGATCCTTACCGTTACTTACAGACCTTTGATATATTCTTATAATTAAATAACAATGAGGTTTTTTTTTTTTTTTTTACTGTTGCTTTTGTCATTTGTGTTGACTATCTTATCTTTAACATTTTAAAGATGTAAAGATTATTCCATTTAAAGCTGCATGGAAAATAGGCTATTACATTCACACATAGATTAAGTTTAACATATAAAGGGAAAAATATGAAAAATCAAAGGAATCTTATGGCTTTGTCATTAGTGTATTGATTAATGATGACTTTTTAGGGCTATATATGCACTGAAATTATTGATTAGTACATGAAAAAATTTAAATGAAACATCTGGCATTCTAACACAATTAACAGAATCCAGATTAACTGTTCCTTAAGCAATAAAGCTATTTAATTACCTAAATAACATCAAGTCTGGGAATAGCTGTTCTATGTTTGTGTAGCAACTCAAGGTTATAAAGAATTCAGTTTCCTTATATTTTTCTCCTCTGCACCCTCAAAGTATTAGGTTTTCCTCTTAACCTAATAGCTTCCTGGTCTCTAAATGACTTTGGAAACTAGAGGCTTAATATCCTCATGGATAGCATTCAAAGTGGGAAATAAGACAACGTGTGGTGGAAGGAAGCCTTCTGTTATCTCTGTTGATGGAATGGAGTATTATTCTCAGAAATCATGCATCATATTAATCTTTACAATACAGAACTAAAATATGCAATGTGACCACTGTTAGCCTCTGAAGAGTCTGGGAAATTCAGTATCAGTCAAAAGGAAATAGAATTAGTAATTTCCTTGGATCTGTGGTGCTTGCCAAGTGAGCTGCCTTCCCTGAGGACATTGCTGTCCATCTGATCCCCAAACAGTATACTGACTCTCTTAGCCAGGAAAAAAGGGGTAAAGACACTAATATAAAAAATGTTTAAGTGAGGTTGCTCCAAAATCCAATAATTATTCCAGTAATGCAAGAATATTGAGAATTTTAAATAGGCAAAATGAAGGGCATTATTTTATAAAAGAGAGGCCTTAATAAGACTTAATTGCTAACATTTAATTTAAAATATGAATTTCTATATTTCCAACCACAACTATAGTTTACCTGTTACTAATGCACTGAGAAGAACATTGCATTATGGATAAGTACTTAGAAAATTCTTTAAGGATATTTAATAGAGCTTTGGGAAGAAATGCTTTCACTATTGGATAAAGTTTGCTTCATTGGATACAATTTTTTTTATGTTACATAGTTAGAAAATATATAAGTACCTACTCCTGGAAATTAATTTTAAATTGTGTTAGCTTGTAATACGAATAGCGTAAAATTAAGGTGAATAAAATAACTTCCTGGCATCAATTTGTTTTCTGAGAATTTTGTTTTAAGTAAATACTAAATATTATAAATATTAGCAGAAAAACACATTTTCATACCACATATGGTACATAAAAAAATAATTCTTTTTTCTTCTGTGGTTTTGAATTTCTCATTAAGGAAACTTAACTAGCTGATCATTCGTTAGAATTACAGCCATATATCAGATTGTTGGCATTTTAACATTACAGATAGCAAAATCTCGTAACCAGAATAGGGATAAAATAAATCTAATAGTGTAAACATAGTTCTCACCTGCATTCAACACTTAATTAAAATGAATATATTAATCTTTTATATCTTGAGTTTCTAAATAGCTTCTCCCACCTCACAATGTGCATAGGTAATAAATGAACTGAAAGCTATGTACAGTTGTGCAAATGATAACAAAATGTTTATCATGTATATGACAATTGTGATCATGATAATCATATATGATAAAAAATTTAGAAAGATAATACTTTATTAATTTATATGAATGTATATGAATAAAGGGTGATATTTTCAAATATCACATAAGGTCTTAGGAAATTATATATTTGGCAAATTAAATTTTTAATCTGACATGTAAATTAGAATCTTCATAATTTCTGGCCTAGCTTTAAACTAATAGTTTAGTCTAAAACATTTTTTTCAATTCTTCTTTATTGTAGGCAGTGAGCACAGACCCTGTCCCAGTTAAATTACACTATGACAAATCGCATGATCAGGTCTGGTTGCTAAGCTGGGGTACCTTGGAGAAGACATCACCAACACTACAGGTAAGTGCATCTCTGTATATTAGAGAAAATAAAGATCTTTAAAGCTTTCAACATTTTATTGGATATTTGTGATCATTTAACAATGACATTTTTCCATCTGAAGACTACAGCTTTAATCATAACTAGATAGGCACAGAAAAGGGCAAAAAAAAAGTTGGCACTCATGTACTTTTGGATGGGGAAAAATCGTAGGTTATATGTATTAAAGGTTATATTTATATGTAAAAAGAATAACCTATAGTGACAACGCTGATGCCATTAGGAGGAAAAGAAAGTCATAATTTACTTTTCAACAATTTTGGTAAAGCATGTATGATAGAGACAAAGAGAATTCGACGGCAAAAGCCTCAAAGCCATTTCCATTTTTCTCTAATCAGGTAATAGTCTATTCTCTGAGGAAAGGCTTATTTCTAAAGGAAGAATAGAGGTGTAATTCTTAGGGATTTTGCCTCTCTGCCTTGAAGTTGTTTATGTGAGAACTTGACAGATACAGAACAAGAAAAATCTGCATTTTGGTCATGACCCTTTGGAACAGTCTTTAGACTTTTATAATTACAAGTTTTAGCAGAAACAGAACGGGAATGGGAATGAGTGTTTGGTCCTGGAAATGTGTTTTATATTACAGTATTTTTCAAAATGCTTTGCCATTTTACTGCCTCTCTTAACAAGACCCCAAATTATTAACTTTTGGACATTTTAAAATACATTCTTTTAAATGAAATAATTTTATTTTTAATCAGTTGTCACTACCAAGACTTTTAATGTTTCTGAGTTATTTTCAGTATCGCAATATTTAACTTACAAATGACACTTTTATGTAAATAGAATATTTTAATACAGCTAGCATAATGATGGATCATTTTATATTCACTAGAAATATGTGTCATTTGAAACATTGAAAATATATTATAGTATTTTAGTTATTTAGTTTGCAAATCAATCCACTCTCAAAATTTGAGGTCTTAAAATTAAAGGATGACTCACAATTCTGTGAGTTGGCTACCTGGGCAGCTCTGCTGATATGATCTGGCAGCACTCATGGGCTCCAGTTATCTGATAACTTGGCTAGAGGTGGAAGGTTCAGAATGCCCTATAGCTCTCACGTCTATCGCATGGTGGTAGTGCTCAGCTGGATGCCTTGTGTCCCATGCATGTGATGCTCACCCTACGCTCATCTTCACAGCATAACGGTTTTAGGTTACAAAAGTGGAAGCTACAAGACCAGCTGAGGTATGGGCTTCAAAATGCACATAAAGCCAATTTTGCTACATTGTATTCATCAAAGCAAGTCACATTGCCTACCCAGATTCAAGAGGATAGAATGATAGAGCCAATTTCTTGATGGACAAAGCATAATCTTCACAAAGGGCAACTTTTAGAATCATCTATCACAATATGATAATAGGTGCTTGCTATTTGAGATTTTGTATTCATGCATACTCTTTGCAAGATGAATAAAACAGGTCAATATATATGATTTTTTAGAAAATATTATTATAAATTATTTTAATACACTATTAACCTTAAGATTAGCATAGCTTAAAAGTTTAATTTTTTTCATGTCTTTCTTTTAAAAAACTAAAGCTGCATATATTTTTATTATACAGTTTTCTTCAGAATTGATCCCATCCTCTCCCCTTTGATTCATGCTACTTGGATAGATTAACAACTTTCCCAGTGTTGCAATTTTGCCACAAAATAGTTTAGACAAATTCCTTTGACACTGTACACAGAAGAAAGCCTTCTGGAGGTGTTCTTCACACACATTGTTCAGCCATCTAAAAATGGGTTCTTCATTTTTCTCTGGATGCCTAATAAAAATATTTTGTGTGAATAGAATATGGTATATTTTAAAAATATTTGCTGGGTGGGAGTGGAAGGTGTCACAACTGAAAATACAAAATAAAGTGTAGGAATTGAGAAATATCCTTTAAAAAGGTATATACAAGAAGATTTATTTACATAAGATTTATGTGTGTGTATATTATATGAATATGGATATAAGACTGATTAGATAGATAGGTAGATGGATGGATAGATAAATAGATAGATTGATAGATAGATAGGCAAACAGTATGATAGGAAACCCAAGATCTCTGGATCAGAGAACAGGCCATTTCTCACTCATGGAGCATGTTAGTGTTTATGCCCCAGCCCTAATCAACTTTGGGTCACGTGGAGAGCCTAATGCTGCCCTGCACGTTCAGCACAGTTGCATGAACGAAGTGGTACCCTAGAATTATGTCTCTATGGTTTCTCAGGCTGCTGTCATATCAGCCTATCTTCTGTCTGGACAGATAATCATCATTACTCTAGAATGTATGAAAATCTTCCCCTGGAAGAGGAAGAGTAGGTCATTTCCCTTGAATGTCAGTAAATGGTTCAAAGGAGATAATTCTCTAAATCTCTTAGGAGCAAGACACTATCACTAGTCTCCAAGGCATTTTTGCTGTGCCATTAGCCTTAAACCAAGTTTGCCAATGCTCTTTGCTGTGAAAGACCTGACTCTGCAGAAATGTCAAAATATTCATGGATAATCGTCTCCCAAAAGATTATCAGGAAACATTCACAAAGGAAATGGAAGTTAAGACATGCTTCCTTTGGAGAAACTGAATTCACAAAACCAAAAATACGGGCAAGTCCTCACTTACCATTTAGTGTTTCCCATGCCATCATGATGAAAGATTAGGCTGGAAGATAAATCGATGCTGAAGTATGTTCTCAAGGATTAGAAAATTATACTTATCTTTTTCTTTGTGTTTTAATTTTTATTATAATTTAATCCATACATCTTTGTCAAATATAAAAGCAAAATATGTATTTTCTGAGATATTTATAATAAAGACTAATGTCATCATTGTAGATATATGATAATATTTTCCAATTCATGTCCTCAGATGGATTCTCAAAGATTTATCATAATTTATTTTACTTTTAAAAGTCATATATGTCTTATAAAAAATTCAAAATACTGCTTTAAAAATTATAATGAGTCTGTAATCCACAAATTTCACAACTGGAGTATAATTAATGTCTTATCAACTGCACAATAATTAAAGAAAATATTCCCAGGAAATAACTTGAAATAGAGGCCTTCCGTTTTGCTATTGTTCAGGAAGTGGGCCCCAGCCAGGAGGGATTCCGATGGAACTCAATGGAAGTATATTCATTTAAATGAAGAAAAATTACCCTTTGGGAAAAACAAACTAACTCTAAAACTAAAAATGATAAAATAAAATCTTGTCATAAAAACCAAGGAGAAGTTTTAGTCTTGAGGGAGAATCACTATTTAACTTAGTCAGTAGTTTAGGAAGTTATTTTGATGGCCATATGTAGAAAGTATTTAAAAGGGGATAAATTAAAGGCAGGAAAAAAGCCCTTTAGAAAGCCACCAGAACAATGGTTGTGCAGTAGGAACGATGAAAGGTAACAGGAGTGTAAACAGATGTAAATAACTAATAGGATTTGGTAACTAACGGAATAAGGGAAATAAACTAGTTTAAATGTAGTTGACCTTTTCTTTAAAGGACTATAAAAGTTTTTTAAAAAATTCATTATGAAAGATGAAATCTCTTTTATTAAAACACTTAAACCCGTTATTTTTCTATGATAGGAGGAAAACGTTTTAAAATATGGATTTATGTATTATAAGATTTTAAAAATTTAAATGTTTCACATGATTTAATTTGGAGTTTTCAAAACTATGTTGCCAGTTATGTTATACTGCATTTATTTTTCTCATTATAAGAAGATTAGGATTTTTATAATAAAGAAGTTGCTTATATGCCTATTTATTTTATATTTTAAGCTGAAATTGTTCAAGACAAATATTTTTCTATTTTTTCTTTATAGAAACAACAGTTTCTATATTGACAATAAGCAAAAGATCACCAAATTGTAATTTGTGTAATAATATATTAATTTTGAGGATGGCATAAAGTCTATGCAAACAACTGCCAGAAGCATTTATTTCATCTCTAAATAAAATTAAAACTTATACTACGAAGTGACTGCATTGTTGAGGTCTAACCAAGGTGTGTTCTGTTTAGGTAATTACCCTGGCCAGTGGTAATGTGCCTCACCACACGATCCACACCCAACCAGTGGGAAAGCAATTTGACAGAGTGGATGATTTTTTCATTCCCACCACAACACTCATTATCACCCATATGAGGTAAGTGCTAAGTTGAATGATTGACTTTTTAAAGATTTATCCCCAATTTAATAGAAAGCCATGTGAAATCATAAAGAAACTTATAAAACAAATACACTTGTACAATTGCACTCGCTTTAGCTTTGTCGTATCGGCTTACTGAACCTTTGTTTTTCAACATTAGTGATGAGTTTCCCATAAAATCTTTCTCTTTATGCCTAATGGAGGTGTGAATTTGTGAAAATGCAGTTTTATTTTTAAAAATTACTTTAACAATGTTTTTGCAAATTGTCATTAAGATTTTTCTGACTGGGTTCTTACAAAATGCTGGCATATCCCCCCAAAATAAATAATTTAGAAGATAAAATCACTTCTCAAATGGAGAGAATGTTAATTGAAACTTGGTATGGAGAAGCAACCACAATCATAGAAATATATTCTATATAAATATTTTGTTCACTCTCATGTCATTTTTAGATCATATTGTAATTAATATAAAATTGTATTAGGAAATACAAGAAGTTGAAATGAAATGTTTGAGGTCTGCACTTTGAGAAAAGATGCTAGTGTGTTTTATTCTTCATGTATTTACAAGAGGTGAAAAAGTAATATTAACTTCTAGTGATAAAACTGCAAAGCTTTATAGAAGAGATTTAAATGCTAAAATGAGGAGAAGGTTGGCATATCATGATATTTAGTATTATGTATCTTTAAAATCTATTGAAACAATTTAAAAATATTTGCTTAGCAATGTTAAAAATGAATTTGGACCAAACAAAGATTTTGTCCTTTTTCTCAAGTGAATTCTGATGTGTGGGAACTGCTCCAGCTAAGTTATGTGAGCCATTATTGGATTATTGTGCGTATTTGTTTCCTTATTTAAATTAAAAATTGTATCATCTAAAAATTGCAGTTGTGAGAATTATGGAAGACTGCATAATTCAACTTTGCAATAAATAAAAAGGGGGATTAATAAATCAGAATCGTAACTCAAAGACAGAATAAACTATTCCTTGCAAAGTCAAGTATATTTTCAAAGCTTGGTATATTTGTAAATCAATTAGCCATTATTTTCAGAATGCCTATTATGTGCTCAGCAAAAAAGTGATTAAATAACATAATGTGCAGGCGGGGCATGGTGGCTTACCCCTGTAATCTCAGCATTGTGGGAGGCTAAGGTGGTGGTATAGCTTGAGTACAGGAGTTCGAAACCAGCCTGAGCAATATGGCAAAACCCTGTCTCCATTAAAATTTCAAAAATTAGCTGGCATGGTGGCGCACGCCTGTAGTCCCAGCTACTCATGAGGGTGAGGCAGGAGGATTGCTTGTTCCTGAGAGGTGGAGGTTACAGTGAGCTGAGGTCACACCTTGTGCTCCAGTCTCTGTAACAGAGCAAGACCCTGTCAAAAATAATAATAATTATTATTATTACAAATTTTTATGGAAAATAAATTATTGAAACTACAGACTGATGAAATTAACAGTTTTTAGGTTCTTATTGTAATAGCTCAGGGACTTAAAAATCAGAGTTGAATTGAAATCACACCACTTAAAATGATATCTGAAAAATATATGAAGTTTGTATACATATTTGATGAGGATAAAATTTCATTTAATTGTCATTGGGTGTTATGACTAATAAATATTCCTTTGTTATTTTCAAGTTATTGACAAAGTATTAATAACCAATAATTAGATATGTAACCTTTGTTTTTATCTCACTTGCCTATTCCCTATTACTGTATTTAATATACTATTATCAATCTTGCTTATTTTTTAAAAATGTACTATTAATACAATGTCTTTGAGTAAAGTTTTAGTGTGTATGACACCACTAGGTATAATTGTGTATAGTTGGGAGTGTTTTCATCCTATAATATGTGAAGGTATCATTATGTTAAAATACCTACTGCGGTCAAGAGCATAGACTTTGGTGGCATTCCGTAAGTACTATTTGTAATTCTGTGTTTGTAGATATAATTTATATTTTGTCAGACCATAGTGTCTCTTTGGGTTCTAAATGATTACCTCAGAGCTGGAGGTGGAGCTAATATTAATTCAAAAAACATCTAAATATTGTGAAGAACTATAAGGCACACATTTATTTTAGTTCTATATATTATGAAAAAGAGTGAAAAGTATAATCAAGGATATTTTTAAGCATCTTTATATTCTTTCGAGGAGTGTGCAGTGAAATGCATGGGTATTTTGTCACTACTTTATTTATATGTATTTAATTTAGTAAGAGTAATTTAGTAAGAATAAAAATTAAATTATGGCAATCCTACCTGCTTGTAGAATCCCATTTTAATGAACGTGGATGATCATCAAATTTCTTAGTGCAGCTCGAAGTAATTACTCATTTTACTACAGTGAATGCGAGGAGTAAAAATTAACATGCATTTCCAAAAATAAACTGTTAACTATGTAAGGTAGTTTCAACATAATGAGAATTTATTCCACATCAGGAACACCTGAGTGATTGAATATGGTCTTTCCTCTTACCAATTTCATATAATTTCTTTCTTTCTTTCTCTCTTTCTTTTTTTGAGACGGAGTCTCCCTCTGTCACCTAGGCTGGAGTGCAATGGCACGATCTTAGCTCACTGCAACCTCCACCTCCTGGGTTCAAGCAGTTCTCCTGCCTCAGCCTCCCGAGTAGCTGGGATTATGGGCGCCCTCCACCACACCCAGCTAATTTTTGCATTTTTAGTAGAGATGAGGTTTCACCATCTTGGTCAGGTTGGTCTTGAACTCCTGACCTCAAGTGATCCACCTGCCTTGGCCTCCCAAAGTGCTGGGATTACAGATGTGAGCCACAGTGCCCGGCTCATATAGTATACTTCTAAGCAAATTCAGCATGTATTTAAATATGTGCTGCTGAGATTGAATCGTTATGAATTGTGTTTTTCAGAATTTGACACTACTTTCTGACTGTTGGGCTTAGTAGATATTTCCGTACCAGGCAGAGGGTGTGAAACATATGTGTTGAATTAATATTAGTTTTCTTTCTCTGACTCTACATCAGATTAATCTGCTTTTCTCTCATGCTGGTACACTTATTTCAAATAATTTATATCTTCAGTGTCTGAAAAGCTTCTGGACAAGTGTCAGACTTTTATATTCTTAGTGCCTAAAAACCACTGGACCATAATTTCTCCTTCCTATGAGAAATTTATGTTTCTCATAGGAATGGAAGTAAAGAAGGAAGAAATTGATACACTATTTCCTAAACAAGATTATCTGGTACTGAGGGAAGAACTGTGTTTCCCATATATGGATTTCTCAGCCTCCAACACATTATCAGCGTTAAGCAAATGTTGTGTTCAGAGCACACAAATTGTGTGGAACCAGTAACTACAGTAATAAGAATTTACATCTGCTGTCAGACAGATCTAAGCCTGAATATCCCAGCAACACCGTTCACCATTGACTCTGGTGACCTTAGCCAATTTACTTCATTTCTTTCTAAGGACTGGAATAAAATAATGCTTGAGCATTCAGTTGCTCACTAGTTGTTGTCCAGACTTCATAATCTTCACTGGGACACTGGCTCCCCATTGATTATTTACAATTTTCCTGAAAGTCTGTACTTTTCCCTGCCTGGCTTCATCTCATTTTTTCCTCCAGTTTTTCTGTTTCTGTGCCTATAATTTTCAGGCTTCTTTAATCTTTAAGTGTATCAGATAAGCATGCAGTGTCATAAAGTAAATCATGACTGAGGAATTTAAGAATACCATTTAAGACACATTTTCAGACTTGAAGTTAGTAAAAAATTTTCTTTAAAAATTTAAACTTAAACAAGAAGTTAATAAATCATGGAAACCATAGTTTTAAAGTTGAAGAGATTATGTAGTGCAAACGGAATATATTTTGGAATGATATAAGAAGTATAAATTTGTTATAAGACAAATTTCAATTTAGATTTTTATTTCTATAAATAAACATATACAGATACGTAAAATTAAAAGTGACTGTTAAAAATGAAGATGAATGTAATTCTCATAATAGTCAATTATGTCTAATAAAATTTGAAATGATAATATGTTACCTTCAAAATCAATTGTAGACGAATATAAAGCAAGGTTTCATTATTCTATATGTAATTTGTATCCAAAAAAAATAAGTTATGTAACTCAGTTGTCATATTAAATTGAAATTACAATGTCATTACATATAACTAGATATATTTGAATATTTGAAGAATATTGTAATTCTATTATTGTTAACTTTTTAAAAATTTCATGGCTAATGCATAGGAGATTTGGTGAGTTTTCACAATGCTTGTGTTAAACTTCAAAACAAAAATCCTCATAAAGCATGAGGATTTACATAATCAATTATTTTATTTTTGATGCCATTGTGAAGGGAAAAATTAAATATCAGTTTCTTATGTGTGAAACTGTAGCTTGCTGTGCAGGTGCAAGTAGAATTTGCATAATAAAGATCAATAGATTTGGCAGTTACATGTTATATTTTCTTTTATACGTAAAGATTCTAGAAAGGTAAGGAGAATTGAGAAAAAAGGAGGAGAAGCTAAGAAGGTGGCAGATATTGGCAATGAGTAATTTCCATGGAATTTTTCCATGAAACCTCCCTCAAAAAATCTTCACTAATCCTTCCTGAGAATTATTTGTTTGAGGCAGAAGGGGGATGAAAGTGAGAACTACATGGAGACCAAAGTGATGCAGAGCAGGGAAATATAATAAATCTGAGTGCAGGATACCAAGAAGGCCCGAAAGTGTAACCTACCAAAATGCAAGAATTAGCAGAAGTCTTTCCTAGAGCTTTTGACATAGCAGGAATAAAATGTGTTGGCAAGAGAATAACAGTAAGATATCTTCACCTAGATTGCAAGGGAACAGCTAACATTTGGCTTATTTGGTGTTATAAGTAGAAATCCTTCAACGTTCTCACCGACTAAAATAATACCTTTGATACAATTTAAAACAAGCGCCAGTTGATTAAAAAAAAAAAAAAAAAAAAAAAAAGATGTATTATAACTGGCCCTTTGTAGTACC